CTAGAAATATTTAGGGGGAGCAAAAAAATTTTCGCACTTCGCGCGAAATATTTCCCTCTTGCCCTCCTTTAACAAAATGTCTAGTTGCGCGCCTGGATTAAAGTAATAAATATAAATAAATAATGAAGCTCTTTTTATATAAGGTTCATCATACAAGTTGCTTAACTATACGTAAATTTTCTGAAAATTTCTAAATTAATATTTAATTTCAGGATAAAAATGAAGAGGGTTGGAACTATACTAGGAGCTATGGAGCTAGGACGTGGACCGTGTACAGGTCCTATCCCAGCTCAGATGATCTCATCCTTCCTTAGCTTTAGGTCAAACGTTTTCTTAAATACTTTAGGGATTATAAACATGATTTTAAGTTATTACCTTCTTATAAAGTTATAATTTTGTTCAGAAGTTGAAAAAATGCTTTGTATGCTAACTTTTTTTATACTCGTTAAGTATATGTTTCAGAAAAAGTTTAGCTATAAAATTGACTTTTGAGAATGGTGTAGCTTAATTGGCTTTGTATTTAAAAGTAAGCATTAGCAATGTCAACACCTTTTTATGTTCAGGGATGATTTTAAACAAATTGATACGGCCTACATGTACTCAGATGGAGAGTCAGAGACTATCCTTGGATCCATGGACTCATGGAAGGAAAGATATTTGCGCCATTTTGAAATCAGCTGATAATCTGCCATTTTGAAATCAGCTAATAAACTGCCATTTTGAAATCCGCTGATTATCTACCCTTTGGAAGACATTGCTGATTATCTGTCTTTTTTTAAATTAGCCTATTATCACCCACCTTGAAATCAGCTGATTTTTTAATTACAATTATTTATGAATTGAAAGAAAAATGTTGAAGGAAAAATAGCCTAAATAACATCATATTCCACAAAATTTTCTTCGAATATTTCCTTCTTGTAGACACAGGGAACAATGGCAGACAAAATTAATCCCTGGAATGGTAAAAACTACAAGGAAGAAAGCATTAGAGAACAGGTCAGTCACAATTTGTTAAGCTTTGTATATTTTTAAATTGTTGGTTGGTTAGTCAGTTATTTGGTTATTCGATTAGTCGGTTGGCTAGTTGTTTGATTGTGTGGTTGGTTGAATTAGTTGGTTTTCTGGTTGGTTGGTTGATTTATTGATTGATTGATTGTGATTGATTGATTGATTGATTGATTGATTGATTGATTGATCAGGTGGATACCTGCTTGAAAAGGCTCCAGGTTCACAGTATCCAGCTGATGTATCTGCATGCTCCTGATATTGGTTGATTGATTGATCAGGTGGATACCTGCTTGAAAAGGTTGCAGGTTGACAGTATCCAGCTGATGTATCTGCATGCTCCTGATATTGATTGATTGATTGATTGATCAGGTGGATACCTGCTTTAAAAGGCTTGAAGTTTTTGTATCTGATGTATCTGCATGCTCATGATATTATTGGTTGGTTGATTGATTGATTGATTGATTGATTGATCGATCAGATCAGATCAGATCAGGTGGATACCTGCTTGAGAAGGTTGACAGTATCCAGCTGATGTATCTGCATGCTCCTGATATTGATTGATTGATTGATCAGGTGGATTCCTGCTTGAAAGGCTTCAAGTTGACAGTATCCTACTGATGTATCTGCATGCTCCTGATATTGATTGATTGATTGATCAGGTGGATACCTGCTTGAAAAGGCTCCAAGTTGACAGCATCCAGCTGATGTATCTGCATGCTCCTGATCACTCCTCTGATCTTGAAGAGACAATGCGGGTCATGAATCAAATTCATAGGTTAGTATGATTTCAAGAGATCCTACATTGAAATGAGCTGCGTGCCTAATTCAAAACTGTAACCTTAAAACCTTCATCAGTATAATTTGGAATATATTGAGTTGTTTTTCTAGTGTTTAATGAAGTGTTTAATTCTAGCAATTTACTCCTTTGTTTCTGCGCAAAAATTAGAAAGTTACTTTAGTTGAAAATAATCAATTTTCAATGAGTAAAACATGAAATTCTCATTCATTCTTGATCAGACAAAGTGTTTATCGGGGAATTGCCCCTTTAGAACTGGAGGGTTCCTTGAAGTTACTTCGAAAGTTTTTTTAAGGAACTAAAAGGGTGTACTGTGTACTGTGTACTGTGTACTGTGTACTGTGTACTATGTAGGAAAGAAAGTACATGGAGCTGGGTTTATCCAACTACTCCTCCTGGGAGGTGGCCAGGCGTGTGTACCGTGTACTGTACCACTGTGTACTGTGTACTGTGTACTGTGTACTGTGTACTATGTACTATATACTGTATACTGTGTACTGTGTACTGTGTACTGTGTACTGTGTACTGTGTACTGTGTACTGTGTACTGTGTACTGTGTACTATGTACTGTGTACTATGTAGGGAAGGAAAGTACATGGAGCTGGGTTTATTCAACTACTCCTCCTGGGAGGTGGCCAGGCGTGTGTACCGTGTACTGTACCACTGTGTACTGTGTACTGTGTAGGGAGGGAAAGTAGCAGGAGCTGGCATTATCCAACTACTCCTCCAGGGAGGTGGTCAGGCGTGTGTACCGTGTACTGTGTACTGTGTACTGTGTACTGTGTACTACTGTGTAGGGAAGGAAAGTACAAGGAGCTGGATTTATCCAACTACTCCTCCTGGGAGGTGGCCAGTTGTGTGTACCGTGTACTGTGTACTACTGTGTAGGGAAGGAAAGTACAAGGAGCTGGGTTTATCCAACTACTCCTTCTGGGAGGTGGCCAGGTGTGTGTACCGTATACCGTGTACCGTTTACTTTACTGTGTACTGTGTACTGTGTACTGTGTACTGTGTACTGTGTACTGTGTATTGTGTACTGTGTACTGTATAGGGAAGGAAAGTACAAGGAGCTGGGTTTATCCAACTACTCCTCCTGGGAGGTGGCCAGGTGTGTGGAGATCTGTAGAAAACATGACTGGTTGCAACCTACAGTTTACCAAGTAAGAATTTAATTAGAAGAAAATATTAAATCCGCCAATCAATTTGCAATAAATTCACAAATGAATTTGCAATAAATTCACCAAATATTTTGCAATAATTACGCCGAACATATGATGCACCCGTGGTGTTTGTGTACCACCCCGAAGGGGGGGGGGGGTTGTTTTGTCTAGTTTTTCAACATCAAACAGAAATCTTACCTGTAAACTTAAAGGGAGTGTTCGCGAAAAATGAAAGGGGGTATGGGTTTAATGCGATAAAAAAGCGGTTTTGATCGCTACTAATCTTCTATCTGTTGCGTCTATAAGGAGAAAATTGTTAAAGACGTCTCATACCGAATAACTTAGCGTTCATACAAATTGAGAAAATTGCAACATACGACTTAGACCGTAAAAAAATCAATTTAATTTCAAACAAATCATTCAGATATTACAACCTATAGTCATCGATTATCTTTCGCCACAGTTGTATATAGTTAATATTTAATAATATTTTTGATTTCATTTTTTTAAAAATATTTCTCTGGCGCTGGATTTTCGAACATTCCTGGAAAATATGAAAATGTCGTCTTCATTATCAAAAATCCTCGAAACAGGAATAAAAGTAACTATCAGATCATAAAAAATAGAAAATATTATGAAATATCAACTAAATACGAATGCGTCGAAAAATTATCGATGATTATCAGATGTAATAACTGAATGGTTTGTTTGGAATTAAATTTATTTTTTTTACGATCCGAGTTATATGTTGCAACTTTCTTCAATTGTATTGACGATACGTTCTTCGGTATAAGTCGGTTTTAACCATTTGCTCCTTATAGACGCAACAGATAGAAGTAAGATTAGTAGCGATCAAAAGCGATTATTTTTCGCATTAAGCCTATACCCCCTTTCATTTTTCGCGAATACTCCCTTTAAGTCAAGCCCCTTCATAAGCATTTGCTTTATTTATTTAGAAGTCAGGGTTAGATCATTTTGTCGGGCAAATGTCTAGTTAACTCGTAAAATAAAAACTGTTCCTTTTACTGGAAAATTTCTGTGTTTCTCTCAAAAATTAATAATTTTTAAAAACATTGTTTTCTCCCAATAGTTTAATACAAGGGATTATAAACTTACCGAAATAAAAAATTAAAATTTTTTTGATGAGGGGTGATTATTTTATAAAAAATATTTACACCCCCTGAGTTCTCTCAAGGGATGATTATATCTCCAACTAGCTCTTATTATTCTATACTCCTAGGGGATGTACAGTGCTCTAACTAGAGTTGTAGAAGACGAACTCTTTCCTTGTCTCAGGTAACAATAATCCTGAATTTCTTTATATCATCCTGATTCTTATCCTGATTCTCATTTTGATTCTCATCCTGATTCTCATCCTGATTCTCATCCTGATTCTCATCCTGATTCTCATCCTGGTTCTCATCCTGGTTCTCATCCTCATCCTGATCCTCATCCTGATCCTCATCCTGATCCTCATCCTGATCCTCATCCAGATCCTCATCCAGATCCTCATCCAGATTCCTAATTTAATACTGATTTTAATTTTTAATCTGGTCTCAATCCTGATCCTGATCCTGATCCTGATCCCTTATCCCTGATCCCTGATCCCTGATCCCTGATCCCTGATCCCTGATCCTGATCCTGATCCTGATCCTGATCCTGGTCCTGGTCCTGGTCCTGATCCTGATCAAGAACTTAATTCCTAATGACCACCTAGCTGCTAAATGTTTAGGCACTACGGAATATCCTTCTATGCGTACAGCCCCCTGGCCGGTGGTCTGCTCACCGGAAAATATAAATATGAACAGGGACCGAATTTAATTAATTTGAGCTAGATCGCTGAACTACTTACTGCCGGTTCAAATCCTGAACCACCAAGTTAAAGATCCCAGATCCCAGTGATTCTAAATATTCATAATTTGAACCTGCTGTAGATAGTTCAACGACCTCTACAATTCATTAAATTTGGTCTTAGGAGAAGGATAAATCTATTTCAACAGGACGGTTTAATGGTGTAGGTTGGGACAAGGTGTACAAGGACAGATACTGGAAAAAGGAACATTTTGAGGAAATGGAGAAGCTCAAGGTTTTGCTTACTGAAACCTACCCAGAGGAACAGGTGCCATATTATATACTTTTGTTGTACGGCACTATAGTTTCAGTAGAAGTTAATATTTCCATTTACTGTTTAGCCACGATATAAGGATTCATCTCTAATTGGATAATGAGATAGGTAGAAAGATAGATGTTACCGCCATACTATTTCTATTGGTTCAGAATAGACAACAAACACATGACTGAACCCTGATTGGATTAGGCGCTAATGGAATCGCATACAAATGGGTATATATATATTTTATATTTGGAAGAATTTGGGGAAAATGAAAAATTTAACATCCCGGACTTTTTCCCCTTTTGAAATTTTTTAACTAAAACTTTACTATATATTTTACTTCCAAGTATCTATGTTACCCCGTGCGAGTATGGCTAGTCTACAATAAATGTTTATTTATAGACTATTAATGTATTTCTAGTTAATGTATTTCTAGTTATCTTGCATGAGAAATAAATATTATTTGAAGGCAAATAATCAGTCAACATTGTAAACGTAATTTTATGTGTTCCTCCGTTCTTAAAGTAGTACGTCCAAAGAATTTTGTCTGGTCCAAGATAAACGAGATATCCTTACTTTTACAGCTTAAAATGGATTATTTTTAATTGTGATTACTCTGTGAAAGAGACTGGCGGATATATTTGTCGAAGTTTTGATTTTGTTTTTATCAGGTTTCAATCCCTGAAGCTGCATATAGGTGGCTCTATAATCACTCAAAGCTCTCCGGTGAACATGGTGATTGTGTTGTACTCGGAGCTAGTCGGTTAGAGCAGCTCAACATGAACATGGAGCTCTCACAGAAACCTGCTCTAGAGAAACCTGTTGTCGAGTTCTTTAATAATTGGTGGAACTCTACAAAACAATTCTGTCCAAAGTATTTCAGATAATTTAGAAATCAGGACGGATTGGGTTGAATTTATCCGGAGATTTAAAGCTTTTCTAATAAAAATATATTTTTTCACATTATTGTAATAATTTTAATCACGAGCTATTATTATTTAATAATTGTTGCAACATGATTTCATTTAAATATGTAAACAATATCACATTTATACATGGTCAAAACTAACTCGATGGTATTTGTGAATATTTACAAATTGTGATATTTTTTAATTAATAAATAAAGTTTAAAATTTATCTGTTCATTTTGTTATTTTTCAGAAATTAAGCAATGAATTTGTTTTCAAGGATTGAAGGATGGTTTGAGCAGATATTATTTTGTTCCTACTCTGCTTGTATGGAAGAACGAATGTTAATGATATCCTGGATTTATTTATTAAGTAATTTAATAATATCTGTATGGTTTGCTGCACCCTACGGGAAGTTTGCTAGTTCCTCGCAGACCCCTGGGATTATAATAAGGTTTGGGGATTCTTTTAAAGGAACTGTTCGCGTAATATCAAGTCACCCTTCAGGCAAAGATGGCTTAATCTGATCAAAAATGCAAAGGTTTCTCCATTGTTTCTTATAATAAAGAAATGTGCAAGATACTTATGCAGAGAAACTACAAATGAAAATAAAGAAAAATCTGGATATCTAATTAATACTTAATCAGATATTGTTTTTAGGGTACTGTTGTAAATCGGGCATTGTCGTCTTTGCATTTAGGGTCACTTAAACTTGAAATTACGCTACAGCTCTATAAACAGTGATGGGTACGTCAATGTGATGGTCAAAATAATCCGATTTTTAGATTGTTCATGAAAAGTTAACCGTTAGGCCAAAACTAGTTCTAAGGTTGGATATTTTTATGAAATACCGCTAATTCGCTTAATTATTTAGAAGGACTCAAACTGACCATTACCAAATCGGATTAGTGTATAATCTAACGAGATTAACGATGCAAAAGTTCCAACCTGAGTGATAAGATAGATATTGACAGTTTTACAAGGAGTCAATTTCAAATAAATCTAAAATATATTTTCTGCATAGTTTTGAATTAATATTTTTATAATTATAATTGGATTGGGATTTTTGATTGGCTTTAATCACTCTGTAATTGACCACTAGCAGTAGAGTCTCCAATTATGTTTTTTTTCAAGTAAATATATTTTTCCTAAAACATTTTGATTTGTATCAAATCAATGTTCGATTAAAGTATTATATTGGCCTCTGTATTCATTGTGTTGCATGAATAGCATTCCGATTAGAGTTCTGATTTTCTAATGGGAGTCACAAAAAGATTAGCTAATCTCTCACGGGTCAAAACTTTTGAAATAAAAGTTTACCGATCTCTTATAGATTTGCCAAGTAAGAAATCGTTCAGCAGATTTTGTACATTTAAAAGTTGTGATCTCAGGTTAACAAGTGTCCAGATGCCTGCTAGGATAGGTTGGTTTTTCCAGTAGGTTCCAGCCTTCCTGGTCGGTTTGGTCGGTATCCTGCACCTGGTGGAGATACAGGAGATCTACTCCGCTCTCTCCCTCATTCCATTCACTCTGCATTATTTCAACAGATCCGTCATATTCCCGCTCTCTATTAAACAAGGTTAGAGAGTAACTCAATTCGGGGGCGTACACAGGATTTTGTCAAGGGAGAAGGGCAGAACCCCCCTGGACATCTTGACAAAGGAGGCCAGGTGCGGATACAGAGGGGGAGTGAATAGTGTCTTTTAACCCCCATCCCCCCTTTTCTAGAGACTAACTAAAAAGTTTACTGTAACTCTGATTTCCAGCAGATACTTAACCTACGCTGTTAAGTAATTGAATAGAATTCTTTCCTGATTTAAAAATTAAGTTTATTATTATTTCAGAATTGCATGAAACACATTATGGTTTTTAGTAGCATTACAGTGACACCAAAACGATAGTAAGGGTGTGAAACTTTGTGATATTTTTCAGACATCATTTTACAGAAGCAAAATTGAATTCTACTTGGAATGTTTTAAAATTCAATCAGAAATGGCTGGCTCCTTGAAATAAGTTGTAACGATAAAAAATGCTTTAAAAAAAAAACACAATACAAATGAAATAGAAAATTTTAAACAGAAATTCAATCTATTTTCATATTTTTTAGAATTGGGGGGGAATATTCCCACAACCTCTACTTTTAGAGGTTTTTAAAAATGTTCTCCTGAAACACTCTATTTTGTATGTTTTTGTTATACTAGCCTTAGAGGGCGCTTCGCGCCCATCTTCTAAATTAATTGTGAACATGTTCTCTATCTGTACATCGTAAAACAAAACAAAGATGATTCGCGGATTTTCACAAAAAATTTTCAAAAATTTAATGACGATCGAATTTTGATGGAGACAAATATTTGAAATTTTGATCATTCATAAACCTTCCCTGGGGTCCCTAGATGTCCCAGAAAAAATTTGGGCCCGATCGGTTCAGCCGTTTTGACGTTTATTGGATACAAACAAACAGACAAGCCAAATTCATATAGAGATTTGATAAATAAATAATTTTTTACTTTTTACTTTTTCAATTCATAGGTTGTTTTCCCGAATAAAAATCAAATTACAGAATAAAAAAATGTTAAAAATTGACTGATATAAAGCAAAAAACACCTTATTGTATTACTAAAAAAATGTAGATATAGCAAAAAGTTTTTTTGACCATAGCTTGTTTAATTTTTCATGATTTTTAACTTTTAAAATTGTTTTAAACTCTGGTTTTCACGTATACTTTATTGCTATCCATATCAAAATGCTTTCAAAACTTTGATTTTAACTTGTTACTATTAATTTTTTAACATGTTTTATCTTAACCTAATTTGAGGGCGCCATTTTTGATTGCTTGCTATTCTTCTATAAGGTGGCAATATTTTTAC